AAAGGGGAGTGTGGAGTGTAAAAAAACCGAGAGCTTCCCCATTGATGTTATGTAGTTTGGATTTGCATAGACTGTGGTTTATTATGTTTGACTGATCGTATGGGCTATCGCTTGAACAAACTGTATTGCTAGTGAGACCAGGGATTTCTGAAGGCCAAAAAAATCATTATCTTGATAAAGTGGGTTAATTTGTTGAACTTGATTAGGCGGACAGTTAAGACAGGCACCTGCCAGTTGGGTTGATGGTGCGTAACCTTGTGATCCATCTTGCCCAATGGGAAAGTGTTGAGAATAGTTACGTCTTACAGGTATGTTATTTAAAACGTTTGAGGATAACCGTGGGGTGAGTTGGTTCATTGTGGTTTGTCCAATATTAGGCCTGCTTACATAACGATTGCAGTGGCCATCTTGTGAGACATTTGAACCAAGTCTGCCCTTATAACCTCAAGGAATATCAGAAACCGCGACGAGACTGCTGAAAACCTTCGGAATAGGTGTGGCACACAAACCGACAAAATCACTACAATCAATCTTATGCAAACCAAAGATGAAATAACATAGGAAAACAAATCAAACATCGTCTACTAGATAAATTGTGCCAACTGCGAAAAACACTACATCGGACAAAGCGAACGCCCCCTTCACCTTCGCCTACATGAACATCAATTAGCAGTCAAACGGCATGATATCTCTTTACTTATATCAATACACGTGGACAACTGCGGACACTCATTCGATTGGAAAAATGTGGAAATCTTAGACAGAGGAAACTACAAAAACACCAGAGAATTTTTAGAAGCCTGGCACTCAGGTCAATCAGCAATCAACAAGCATATTGAAATCAATCCAATTTATCAACCAATCAGAAAAATCATGCACAAACATAAGAACAAAAATCAAAACAATGGAAGAGACAACCAAAACAAAGAAGTAAACAACGACAAATTTAAAGTCAATAAGAACCAATCAATGTCGAGGTGCACAGAACAAGCTTTGAGACACATATGGAGAAATTCAAACACTTCACTTCCATCTGAAGTTTGTGCTGATGATGTCGTTCAGAAGAACGATGAAAGCTCCACGACCATACCATCCAGCTCAGAGAACAAAACTCCACCAAAACCTTATAACCTCCCCTACGATGCGTAAGGTAAAGCATGGTGTCGGGAAGTACAGTCTTATTTTTATTTGGTAGGGTCATCGTAGTATTTTTGATACTGGGTCTAGAACCAGAAGGTTCTGTACTTACATTCTTCTTACGTGCCAAAAGTATTTTAATCTTGACAGCGTTTTTAAGAGTTGTAGCATTAGAACTAAGTACTTACTTATGAGCTTCTAATGGTAAACTGGGTAATATCGGATTAGTGACCTCATTAGATGTACATTGGCTATCAGATGTCACTACAGACATAACAGGCAAATTAGCATTCTTTGTTGGTATATCAGAGTATTAGAGAACATGAGATAGGGTAGCTGCATCAGTGGATCCAGCAGCTCATGCATCGTGGTTTGTTGTGGTCTTAACACCTTTATTTTCGTTCAACGTACGTTTTTGCGTAAGCCTTTGATTGGTGGTCTTATCTGAGACTATACGAGCGTTTCTAAATTTCGTAAGCGCGCAGATTAGCTGCTCGGATTCTTTTAACCGTTTAGCTAATATATGAGAGTCGAATCCGAACAAGACCGGGCACGAGTATTTCTGGTGCTTTTTATTAAGTCGAATGCATCGGTATGGACTGTCTTGAAGGTTAGATGCTTTTAATATCGAATTCCTTACAGTTTTAATGGGGATTCTGTCAGGTATATTATAGACAATCACGTTAGTACGAGAGATTATTCGCTTGGTAACTTCATTAGCGATAAAGTCGATAACAGATTTTGCTTTTATGATGTCATCAAGTTCCGCAGGAACGATATCTTTTTACAGGAGCAGCTTAAGGGGGTGATAATGTCTTTATTTCTTGTTTCAAATCATCATGATTTGATAAAGAGCTAGCAAGTGACTCAATTTTAGACCGCATGTCGTTTAGTTGTTTAAAGACAGTGTTTAGTTCACTCTTAATAATATCGATACTCTTTGATCTTGATGTGGAACTCACTATTAAATTAAAGACAGGGCCATCCAGCATCAGATGTGGCGTAAGACCCATCTCAACATTATCATCTTCAAAAGGAGTAGCAGAACATGGGAAATAGGTAATAACAGAATTGTTATTATCTGAAGTATTAGGGTTTTTCCGGGCTCGTTTTTTGACGGTCGACCCATATCGCTTTAAGTATAGATTTTAAAGCTATTTATGAGTTATAAACTAGGATTCAACGATATTTAAACAATATAAATTAGATACCGTGTTATCGTAACGCAAACTTAGGGGTTAAGATTTAACTCTAAAAAGTGTGCTCATGCACATGTAACACAGTAGCTGTTATCAATCTATTACCGACGGTACATCTCTTTCATGCGTACAGGGACATAAATACTTGGGGATAATAGCAGGACACGAGTTGAAAACAACTAGGCATTGCAGACCAGCAACCGCCGAAATGTTTCGTGCGTTATGGTTACTTCACTGAGCATTCAAAGGATTTAACGGGATATCCACGTTTTATTTACCACCAACGTAAGACCATAATAAGAGTACGGTGTCAAGGCGCCTCGCCTATGTCCGATTAAGGATGCTTACTCACTTGAGAGTATTCAGCTTGTGGGAACAAAATTAGTGAAATTCCCCACAATCGACCCCTAAAACGCCCAAATCTGTTCATCTTATCGTATCGTAGAACGCATGATGACCTTATACTGGCATTCACTATCCTTAATAACGATTCGGGTATAAATATGTCTCATCGTTTTGCTCCTTTCAACACTAATGAGCTTCAAGACCATAGAAAAAATGTTCAAAAACCACGAATTAATGAGTGAGGTTCCGTTTTGATTATCGAGTGGCCAGTGACTGACATGCCTTAATAAAACAAGTGGTATCAGCCCCATAATCGGTCGTTCTCAAGGAAAAAGTTAGACCTCCACTGGAAGTCAAACTATAAGCATTTACGCAAGTCCAATATAGTACTATCTACATTACTGTTAACTGAATCTTTTGAATATTCACTCTGCTATACTGAGGGAAGCAGCCTCAATCCTGGTAGCACCTCTTAGCATGATTTTCTCACATTTGCTAGGCCGAGGCACACTGCCGGAAATTTGGAAGATGGCTCACATCACAACAATCTTCAAAGGAGCTCAACTCAGAGAAACTTCCAGCTACCAACCGGTGGCTCTTCTCGCTATACCTTCAAAAATTATGCAGTCCCCGATATGCGACGACATAAGCGACAATTTCTCATTCTGAAACTTCTTTTCACCTCAACAGCATGGTTTCAGAAAGGGTCATTCTTGTATAAGCAACCTGTTGACTACAGTGGACAAATGGACAACCATCTTTGACCACAAGGGAAAGTTTGACGTCGTTTGACATGACTTCTTAAAAGCTTTTGGTATGGTCAACCATATATGTCTTATCAATAGGCTCAAAAGACTAGGAATCAAGTCACATTTAATTGATTGGCTCGCTTCAAATCTAAAAAATCAACATTTTATCGTTAGGGTTAGCTTCAATTTCTGTCAGACTATGGAATGTCCTAGTGGAGTCCACGAGGGTTCAGTACTGAGACTTTTCATCTCTTGATTTATATAAACGATCTTCCACGTCAGGTATCGACATACTCACTACATTCTGCTTGCCATGCAAAACTTTGGAGAGATACGCAACCCTTACTTCAGGAGGATCTGACTCGACTTCAAAGTTGGGCAGATGACAACGGACTCACCTTTAACACTTTGAAGTGTAAAGTAGTCCATCTGAGACATGTTGCAGACTACAGTTACAACTTAGGAAACTTCTCTCTAGAAGTATCCCAAGTTGCGAAAGATTTAGAAGTGCTAGTACCTTAAAATTTGAAGTCTTACGCTGTGACAAAAATACCTTTTGAGCAAACCTTGCACTGGTAACATTGAAGCGCATTTTTGGCCAGTTTGACGGGAGACATTTCCACATAGTCTTCAACAGTGTCATTCGTCTTCATTTAGAGTACGGAAACAGTATTTTCTCCCTCATTCCAAAAATATAAGGACACTGGAACTCATCCAACGGCGAGTCACGAAATCAGTCCGGGGACTCGAATTCAAGCCCTATGAAGAACGCCTCCGATCACCAGACCTTCACCCATTAGAGTACAGGCGTCTTAAAGGTGACCTAATGGTCCATAGTATCTTAGATACTATTGGAAATCCCCTTAAACACCTACTTAGATTTAGCTCCAACACAAACCTGTGGGTTAAAACCTAGAAACTAGAGAAACAACACAGCACAACGGACTATAGACACAACTTCTACTCCTCAAGAGTTGTCAAATGCTGGAATTCGCCGCCGTCTGAGCTATTCCAAGTGACTTTCCAGGAGTCCTTTAAGAGGAATCTTGACATATTCTCAAGGGCTAAGGATAGTATTTTACTATGATTTACCGACTTCTTTTTTCTCCTATATCGTTAATATACCTAGATCACTACCTGGAGGTGTTGATGACCCACTGCTACTAGAAACGAAAGCCCGTTAAGCGAAAGCTTCTTCTATTCCATCCACAACTATTTGAGCCATTTGAACCATTTGAGTCTACCTAAGTTACTACTTGCATCTGTAATTAATGAAAGTTCAAAACTTAATAAGTACCATTATCCATTTGTAGAGTATACTAAACTATGAAAACTTGATAGTAAGTATGTATTTCAGGTGTTTTAAGATTTCCTACTCCACCTTTTCTGCTTGTTGATGGATTTCAATATTAATTTTTTAAATAGTTCAATATCTCGTCTCAATACAGCTGCAATATTTTGAATTGGTATTTTTTTCCGCGAGATCATATGGAGTATTATTAGTCTTCTCTTCATAACAACTTTTATATAAATTTAGTTGATTTACAAGCCAAGGACTAGAGTGTCGATAATGAATCATTTACAAAATGGCTCTCCAGCATTAGATATGAAAAGAATTGAAGCTGCAAAAGCTAATCGTCAGTTGCAGCTTGAAAACTGGAGGAATTATGAGCGACAGATGCAGACATCAGATAAACATCCAAAAAAAATTCGTCCTCGTAAATCACATCATTTAAACGTGAAATTTACCGATAACTGCGTTCTACTTGATGCTACTCTCCGTGGAGATTGTGAGGAAGGTGAGTTTTTGTTGTTTCAAATCATTATCGAGAAATTCTTTATTCGTATTCTAAGGCAATTAAGCCCTTTTGTTTAAATTAAACTTATCTTAATGAATGTGTAAAGACGTTGTTAATCAGAACAAAAGTACATTCAACGCTCTTTTAAGACCACGAACCAGACGATCTTAAGAACTCAAATATTTTATAGTATGACAACATTTCCCCACGCTTTCTCCTTATAAAGCTCTGTGCTTTCCTAAAAGTTCTACGTTTAACTACATATTATTATTGATTGTTATCCCAAGTTCAAAATTTTGTAAACCTACATTGTGCTAACTTTATTTGTAAAAGTGGTATGTTCATTTGGATACAGTAAATCAGATTGTAATGACTGATCCACCAGTAGGTAGTTTTTTTGATTTTGGCACCTTTTAAACGTAGGGAGAGTGCTTCTTATGGGATTATTTTAAAGGTCGCTCGTATACTTTTAACCACTTCATTATCATTTCAAGGAGGAAATGAATTTAACTAACTTCCCTAAAGCTTCTCTTACAACTAAATTTTTGTCTACCATAAATCCTATAGGTTGAGCTTGGATCTATATGCACAAGTCGTCAAGACCATTTTAAGCCTTTTACTGACCTATAATTTAGTCCACGAAGAAATTAGTATAGAACTTGACTATGAAAATGAATATACATGAAAATAAGCTAATCCACCTGAACATAAATGTAATGACTAGCAAACCAGCTAGCGGGAAAATGCAATACAATGAACAGACGACACTTGTTCTAGGGGCATCTATGTTTTATATTTTAGAAAATTTTTCAATTACAATGTTTAGTGATATGACATGCAATGAAGGCAAAGTGATCTTGTATACTAATTTTATTAATTCTTAGGGTTTTGCAAACAAGCGAGCAACTAATTTTAGGACGCAGAGGTAGCGTCCGAAGAAGTCGTATGCAGTTTCACGAAGCGTGCCAAGATTGCGAAATATGTCTTTCTCAGGTATTGTAATCTTAAAAGAAAGCCCGCATTTGATTATCTGGTAATAATGAAAGAATAAACATTCTGTTAATTTGGTAGTAGCTCAGTTGCTCAAAATGTTCAAACAAATCTATATAAAAATATTTAATATTATGTTTTATTAAAGGTTCAGTCAGCTTCACTTACAATGACTAAACAATTCAGTCGCAAAGTAGGCTTGCACATTCATGTTTAATAGAACGAATCTTGCCAACTACCACGTTTTGTATGCAGGTATACCTCACACTGACTAGGGATTGAGCATTTTATCCAGTTTAGACGATCTGACTTAAACACGACTTCTACTAATCTCACTAATACTTTAAGAGCAACTTACTTTGTGTTGTAAGGTGAAACAGAACCATAATCGGATTTACTGTGGGGTTCCTGATGGGCTCCAGCTTAAAAGCTGATTAAAACTACCAAAATATCTGACGGGATATAAGACTTTGCTATGTGCTACTTATCAGTGATTAGTCGTGCAAAATGATGATCAATTCTGTTGCTAAATAAACAGTGACATCGTGATGCCTCTTTGCATCTTGCTTTGAGTAGAGAATCTGTAAAAGTCTGAGCGTTTTTGTACCATTTATTAGTTAATAGTTCCGTGAAACTACGGTAATACAGATACGTATTACTTTTTGTTGCTTGTAAGATAATTAGGACCCATATTATTTATCACCTTGATCATCATCATTGAAATTTTAGCCCTAATTTTAGGCACCTTCGTTAGTTTAAGTCAAACAGATATATGTAGAATTTGGCTCAGTACAAACATCGTAGAGGACATACTCGGCGGATCAACATCATTTGTAGGCTTAAGAGTAAAGGATCCGAAAATGTCCCCAAAGTATACATATTTTTCCCACCATCCATTTGTTCAGGCATCTAACAACACTTTTAGCAATTAATCCTTCTAAAGTCTATCGGTTCGTGTGATGATTATGATTGACAAGCATAAAACTTACGCTGTTCAACAATTTTTCTCACTTAGTGTAGGTTTATTCTGGATAAATATTTATCGTCCATACACCATCACTATTTATCTAGCTTAGTTACTTTAAATGTGTGGATCATTTCGTCATAGTTCTTTAAAAGTTTAGTTGTGCTACAAGACCATCCGTTTATTTTCACTAATAGCTTTAGTTTTTACCTAAATATTTGTTCCCTTGAAGAACCTTAGTCAAGCATTTTTGGTTAAGCACAAGGATGTTTTGAAAAAAATATTGACATTTGTGAAACGGATTGTAATTAAGTCTGGAAATGTCTCGTGTAAATTGTTTATATATCAGTCAACTGACGAACATAAAACAAATAAAAAAGTTGCAGGTAAATTTCTGGGTTCTATGAAAGCAGTAAAAACTTTATTTTCCTTAAGTCGGCATGACATACTGTTGAAAAGTTATTAAAACTCCTCAGGGTTTTGTAGTCTTTCACTGCCACTTTTCATGCTCTCATAAATATACATAGCTTTCCAACGAAAACCGCATTTCTAAGCAAATAATTTTGAAGTGATATGTTTTTCAAATAAATATTTGGTGTGCAATATTCACTGTCTAAAGTTTCGAGAGTTATATGCATATATATATATATATATATATATATATATATATTGATTTCCCAAAGGAAGTTTAACCAGACAGTATTAGGAAATATCCCAAGTTTATAAATCTTCACAACCAGTTCCATAAATATCAAGTCCTCTGCATTCGACCATTTTTAAGGTTATATTATAACTACTTCTATTTATCCTGTTGTAAACACTTCCATTTTCAAGTATGTTTATATACCCATATAAAATATCTAAATATGTGAGTAGGTATGTAAAAGATTATTAAGCTGGAGATTATTTAGTTTTTCCATGCTCTTATCATTTATATTTATGATAAATAAATGTGAATATGTTTATTTAAATTCATGTTTTGAAACAAATTCAGTGGATGGTTTTAAATATTCCATTTTGGCGCAACTTTTGTCAGTCATAAAACAGAATTATTTGTGTAAAAATAATGTGTTAAATATCCATTTCCGTTAAAACAACTTTTAATTAAACCAATTTAGTTACTTAAGTCAGGCATAGTTAAGAAGTTTTCCACATTTTATGGCCTCTAAAGAAAACGATTATTAAAGAAAGTGGTATTGAATAATAAGAGATCAGTGTTTTCGGCCTTAAGGCAACTAAGTTTTTATTTTTGAGCTACTTTTTGATAAACATTATCTTTTTTTATCGCATTGCCACGACTGACCTCTGAGTGGTTACTAGTGTCACGTGTGCGTAGTTCTGTCCAAATTCAGTTCTATAGATCTCGTTGTAATGTGTATGTTTTATTGGCAGCTAGTTGAAAGAAATCGGCAGGAAGTGGGATCGACTTCATATAAGATAGCTTGTGGTAATGTAAATTATAGCTCTGTTTGATATCACTTTGTCCTTGCTGAGTCTAACTAAAAAGTTATATCTCTATTTGTTAAAACTTAAGTTACAAGAAGGGTTTTCGGAGGTAAATAATTCATAAAGTGAATTACGATTGATAAAGTAAAGTTTAATCCAATATATTGTCAGTACAAAATGGTGTAGATCTTTGGAAGATCGATAAGATGGATTATGATATACTAAAGTCTTGCTGAATAAATCATCAAAGTGTGATAATTGGAAAAGTACACTTTCTGATACTCACTTAAGGTAAATCATTATAATACCAGAACGTTTCTCGATAGCTAAACGAATTTTCGGGATTTTACTACCAGTAAAATTACCTTAGCTCTTAAACGCTTTATGAGTTGTATTTGTCAAGTTCTTAGCATAAAATTAACCAAATAGTTTCAACATCCGTTTGTGAACAGATTCGTCTCAAAATACTTCGTATATACAGAGGACAGGATCAAATGATTTTAATATCAGAAGATACAAATACTAATAAGTTTAGAAATGACCATGATTCTGATATTAAATACACGAGAGAGTGTTGATTAAATACAACGAATGGGTCTGTTTCACTATAAACAAAAAGCGAGACTGAATTTAAAGTATAATTGTCAAGTCATTGAGTTGCTTTATCATGTAAGTTGTTACCATTGATAATATTATCACTGCCTCCTTCATACTTGATATTATTTTTTTCATGAAAGCAAAAGTTCTTTTAAGCATAGAAAATTACCTGTTCTAAGTTTTATCAACATTTATTCCATTAAATGTCTACATAATATAAGAGCTGGTTTTTTATTACTTTGTTTATAATAAATCAGTTTCTGTTATGTTTTGGAACATTTTCAGTAGTAATTATTGGCAGTCTATGGGGACCATTTCCCTTTACATAACTAACGAAGGTCATAAAATGCACAAAAATATAAACGCTCAATTAGTAGACCTATTTTTATTTACTGCTTATCAGCTACTATCAATGGCCAGGTATAGTGGTATATAGGTAAAACGTTTTAGAAAATGGCCAGAATATAAGAGAAGGTATGTAATCACAAATGAGTTTATTGTTTGGCTAAGTTTGTTATCATACTGTGCTATGAATATAGACACTTCTTAGCCTAAATAATTATTTACCTCCTCCCATGGCTATCCAATAAACGTAAAAGACGGTGGATATTTTTATGTCAAATGTTGAAATAATGATTTTTACTTCACTGTTAGTAGCTGTGCAAGCTTTCTACTAAAAAAGGTAGCTTAAGATTAACTTACGTGAAATTCATAACGATAATTATATCCAGAAAAACAGTAAACGTACGCTTTGTTGCCAATAATTTATCTAAAAGTGTGCATATAAAAACAACAAATCATTTGAAGATTAGGATGAATTCACGCCTTAGTGATTTTTTTCAACTGCTTACAATTTAAAGTGATTATTAAAAAAAGTAAGAAGATTAAACAATTTTAAAAACATTCTTGCTCGTTGATGTCAAAGTGTTAGGGTGATCTTATAAAATGAAGATAAAGAGCTCTTTCTCTACTTTTTGAATATACAAAAGATGGTGCCTACATT